AAAAAAAACCTCAAATCAAAATACCTGCGTATAAATATCCATATAAAAACATAACCCTGGAGGTGCAAAGGAATTCTGAGGGAGTGGTTATGCATTGGGCTGCTGTTATCAAGGTCTCGAACCCAAAAGCCACTCCATAGGAGAAAGATGGGGCTTTCTACTCCCATAAAGAGTCACATGGTCAGAAACCCACAAGGGCAGTTCTGCCCTGCTTTATAGAGTTGCTATGAGTTGACATTGACTTAATGGCACTAAGAGTTTAGGGGGTGCAAGTGGGTGATGCCCTCAGCTGCTAACCACAGGTTGGAAGCGGAGCCTACACATGGCACCTTGGAAGATAAGCCTGTCAATCTACTTTTGGCTAATCAGCCACTATAAACCTTGGAAACAACAGTTCTACTGTGATACACATGGAGTCACCAAGAGTTGGAGCTGACATGATGGCAACTGGTTTTAGACACACACACACACACACACACACACACACACAGTCGTATAATATATATTATATGTAATATGTACAGTATACATAGTGCCCCCATATATGTATGGGGTATTAAAAATTGGTAGAAAATTCAATTATTTTAAATTCTATTTTCCATGAGCTTTTTGATGCCCCTTATAGATATACGTATCTGTGATACATACTGCTAGCTGTGCATTACTATGCGTTTATATGTGTGTGCATTAAATATAAAGAAACACAATACTGTAGTATGTGAGTAAAGTAACCCAGCCTCTAAGTGTAATCTATCCTGGAGGATCTCATAGAGCCATAGAATCCAAAGAAGAATATCTTGAAGTAGAAGGGGCTTAATATCAGAGAATCTCCTCTTGCAGTAGGGTCTCAATTTGCGTTTTATGCTAAAGTAATGACACTTTGGAGAGTTTTCTATATTTGCTACCCTGACCTGGCTGCACATACTGGAAGATCAGAGAAGAGCTCGTATGAGCAGGGCAGGTCTCTGCCTGCGTCAGGCATCCCTTTTCCCTGAACCGCCTGCCTTTCAAGTCATCTCTCAGTCAATCATCTGCTCTATCTCAGCTGGTAAGAGATGGAGTCAGTGCCAAGAGCTACATTTCTGGTGTCTCTTCCTGAGCTGACTACTTGACACCCAGGAGAGAATTCTTAATTAGGAAAGACACTGCCTTATCTTTCCTCAGCTTAGAAACTAGGAGACAGATGCCCTGGGCTGCCCTGACTCATCTCTTTGGGCTACAGAGTTTCAGAGAGGAGGAGTAGGAGGAACAATGATGGGCCCTGAGCAGGATGGACATGTGGAGGAAGCCAGTGCTGAGTTTCTGGGTCTTTTCCACTGGTGCCCTAAGTCCTTCTCAGCCAGTCAGACACATGCCCCTACCCCATCCCTAGAGCAAACTCTCCAGTCCTCTATCCAACAAAGAATCAAAAATATAAGGGCTGGCACCCTCTCATAAGCTCTTAACAATTTTTAATCTGTGTTTACAATCGCACAACAACCACATTTTATCTGAGAAAGATGATAAGATTTATATCAGATATGCACACACACACACACACACACACACACACACATACACACACACGGTAATTAAATTTCCCAACGTTTCCTCCATGTTGACATGTCTACTCATGGAAGAGGTAGATGAGACTTGCACAGTCTTTTTTCCAGGATCGAATTAATTTCTGTGTGAGTTACCCACAGTCCTCGTCTTTCCTGCCCATCTGCCACCCCATGCTCATTCACTTGTCCATAACCATCGTGACATTTAACTACGAGGCAGTTCCTTTCTTGAATGAGCTCTCCGTTGCCAGTTTCGGCATGGTTCTTCATGCAGAAGTCTAAACTCTAAATCAGAGCATTATTTTAGTCTTTTCTCTCCCCCATACCTATACTCTACTAGCAGATGTTAGAAATCCCACCTCCCACCTATTTCTTAATCTCATGGTTTTTATCCTTACTGCTTCTACATTATTCCATGCCATCATGACCTCTATTTGGATTATTACTCATGCCTAGATGTCTTGTCTCTTTTCCCAATTCTAACCCTGTTCTAATTAGACCTGTCATTTCTCCAGAGTGCTTGGGATAAAAGCCAACTCCTAAATATATCTAACAAAGCACTTGATTTGCCTCGGAATCTCATATATATGAGTTTCTCATAGTTTCCCAGGAATTGATGTCTCTCTATTCGTATACGCTGTTACTCCACCTAAAATCTTACATCTTCTGCCTTCTCTGTTACCTGATCTTTCAAGATCCAAAACTCAAACTCACTGACATCAAGCAGATTTCAACTCATAGTGAACCTAATAGCACTGGTTAAAATTGTCATCTGGGTTTCTGAGACTGTAATTCTTTACAAGAGTGAAAAGCCTCATCGTGTTCCTATGGAGTGGCTGACAGTTTAGAACTAGTGACCTTGAGGTTAGGAGGACAATGTGTATAGCCACTAAACTATCAAGGTTCCTTCTATCTTCCAAGATAGCAGACCATAAATCAATTTACAGTGTGAATCTGAAGATTTTCTTTCTGTGTGGTATTCCTGCTTACTAAGTCTGGGTTGGGTTTTTCTGAAACACATTTTAATAGTACTCTGTACTTATTTATCATTTTCTCAAAATGGGTTCTCTCGTAACTTATAGTAAATGCATCATAAATAGTTGTTGAATATTGAAGAAGCACACGTGCTAGTTCAGGTACTAATCGCAGCCAGAAAGTGGGAGAGGAATTCTGCAAAATAGAACTTCAAGATCTACTTCAAACTTTAGGGGGTAGGTTTCTGTACATTGTTTCACGAGGTGCTAAATAGCTGTGTTGATATTAGATAAGACATTTTAATTTAACCTTCTTTCAAATGCTAGCACAATTCCCTACCCCACCCCCCATATTAGATGTTAGGTCAAAAAGTATTGTTACAAACTCATAGAAATGTAAATAAAATAATCAAGATGTGATGGTAATATTGCTCAATATATCCTCCTCCTAGGTTTATAACTTCTGAAGGTGGCAGTTCCAGGTCCCTAACCTTTCCCCGAAGAATGTTGTGTTCATTAGCTCACATCAAGTCAGAGCAGCATCTAGGGCATTCTTGCAGGACTTAAAGAGCGTTCCTTTCAAATGTTCTTCGATTTCCAGGAACTAAAAGAAGTCTGAAGGGGCAAGATCAAGGCTGCAAGGTGGACAGGGTCATGTTTCCCAGTGAATTTCCTGTAGGGCAGCTCTTGCTACCCTTAAAGAATGAGAAGATAGTGATGGGGAAAACTCTTGGTGCAACTTTCCCGGCTTTTTCTCACCAATGCACTTACAAATTTTCATAAAACTTCCTCCCAATGAATCCTATGATCTTTCTTGTCCCTCAAGAAAATCTATTCAGATTACCCCTTTCAAGTTTCCTGCAAAAGTCATTGTGACCTTGTGAGCTAACTTTTTTGCCTTGAATTATCGGTCACAGCAGATCACCGTGAAAGCCATTGTTGAAGTTTGACTTTTGACTGCAGTTCTGACAAGAGTACCATTGAGAGACCTTGTCTACTGCCATCCACTCTTTGCAAAGTCATGTTGAAAAATATTTTTGAATGATCATATACATATATAGACTAGAACTGCAACAGTGATACTTTCAGACTTCCTCTTTTATTTATTTGGTATTACTAATTAAAATGTTAGCCCCTTTCTCTTACTGTACGTACTTCTAAAAATGATACTTTCCTGTGGCTCTGTGGGAAAAAGACAAGGCTTTCTATTGCCATCAAGTGCTGTTATAGTCTCAGAAACCCACAGGGGCAGGTCTGTAGTGCTCTAGCATCACCATGAGTCAGAACTTACTCAATTGCAGTGCGGTGAGGCTAGCGGCAGGAGAAGAGACCTCTCTGGGCTGCATCCCTGGAATGGTAACTTATTCGGGCCTTGATATTCCCTGGGACTCAGCACACACTCTCAGTGCTACATACTCAGCGCTCCATACAGAGTTGCCATGATCAGCAAGGAAACGTGATGATCAGAGATAAGCAAGATACAAAACCTGAACTGTTTTGTACTCAAATATCTGACTGAGTAGATTGGCTTTAAAATGATATGTATAACAAGAATGAAAATGATCTCATGGGGGTGAAGTTTTCCTGGGGGTGCTGAACTAACTATTGCATCAACTTCACAACTTCACAAGCTAAAGCTTGAGTCTTAAGAAGCAATGCCTTATAAAGGAAACTAATGGGAAGAACCTTGATATATAATGGATATTTGGAACCCAGCAAGATCTCCCGTCACCACTGCATAGTCCAGGGCCGGATGGAAACAGTCCTGTGTTAGTCACCCCAGCCGAGAGGCTGCTATGGTTTTTTAGTGCTGTTGAGTCCATTGCAACGCTTAGCCACTGCGAGTACAACAGAGCCACACACGGCCTGATCCTGCACCATCCTAGCATCTCACGAACAAGAAGGAACATCATGAGTCTACTAGAGTGGAAAGATACTGGTTTGAACTTTAGGGAGACAGCTAGGCACACATATTTTTTGTTAAATGTATCAAGGACTCTGCCTGCTGTTTGTTTTACTAGTGCCATAATTCTCTCACTTCCAAAACTCAAAAATACCTCCTTTAAAATAATTTTCTGGGAGATTGAGAGGTTAGGGACTTTTTGCCATTAGAAAGGTAAAATAGTTTTCCACAATGCACTGCAATTTTTTAGCTTTGCAATTTTACTACAAGTGACCCAAGGGAAAGCCCATTACACTATTATACATAGAAATTATGTTGTGCGCTAATGGAAAGAGAACAGCTGTGTACTTGTATACCACTGCTTTTTCTGAAATATGTAAATGGTGGTTTTTGGTTTTTTTATTTTTTTAAAAAGTAAATGCAGAAACAAAATTATTCATGTAAAAACAAAGGTCCTTATCTCACATCAGTGTACATTTAGGATGGCCTTCTAGATTTAAATGCAAACCCCCCTGAAGGAATATGGCATGCACAAAGATTTACAATAAAGCAAAGAAAGTAAGAAAAAAGTCGACTAACCTAACCCACCTGAGCTCGGCTCACAGGGGTCAATGTCCTCATCGTCACTGGGACACTCCGCGGAGGCCACCAGGATGTCATCTGTGGTCTGCAAAGGAAGCATATTTCGTAGATTACTTTAAAGAGACTGAACCAATCCTCTTGTAAGAAGTAAAACACAGTCTGCCTAAAATGCTGAAAACCAAAATCCAATCTCTGTCTTCCCAAAGCCACAGAATTTCACTATGTGAACTGGTCTTATGCCCTTTATAATGGTTTTTAGAAATTTGTTTTTAAAATGTCATTATGGACAATTACATGTACCACAGTATATACGTAGAATTATATGCACAATGTGAAACATTAAGTATACTAAATTCTAAGGCAAATACCCACTTGACATTAAATAGGAACCATACTTAATTGTTCTAAATTTTCATTTAATTTATCAAATTATCAAATGTCATAGTTACAAAGCTGCCCCCAACTCCTATAAAGTCTCTCAATTCAATTCCTTGCTACTGAGTCATCTCTGACTCACGGTCGCACTAAAGGACTCGAGCGCTTGTTCTGAAAGAGCCACAAAGTGTTAAAGTCAGGAATGGATCTCATTCAGAGTCTATGCTGTGTTTAAAATGCTTTCATGTTTCTGGAAATATTTCTTTATTGTATTTTATGACTGTGTGCATATTAAACACTACGTATACTAAGTACTAAGGCAAATACGTCAAGGACATTAGATAGGAACCATACCTAAGTCTTCTAAATTTTCACTTAAACAAAGATTTAGTAATAGCTCATTCATGACCCAGACATTTTTGATTTAAGTGGTTTTACTTGAGGACAGAGGACTATGATAGGCACACTGTAGGAATTTTTATTCCACCGCACAGAGAAGCCAAACGGACACAGTCGTATATGGAGATTTAAAACAACGAGGCAGAAACAGAGGATGTGAAATTTATTACAGCCCTGGAGTGCTACAATGTATGCACCAGTAGGCTTTATGAAGTACTTGTGCTGTCTTCCTAAAAGCAGAACAACCATAATTACCTTTTATATTATAACCAGATATAGTTTTGTGAATCTTTCCAATATTGCTTTTCACGTATCAGGATAAGCATCAGACATGTTTCCATGATGCAAAAAAGGAAGTAAATACAATTCACTGAAGGCCAGGGAACCACTGGTTTAAATCTTTTAACTGATTGCGTTAAGCCTCCACACAAGAATCTCATTTTAGTCAAGTTTCTATAACACATTATTTCCACCTGTCCTTTACATCATTAAAACTTTACAGTAAGTGAAAAGTGTAGGGGCATGGGTGACAAAGTACAGTGAATGTGAGAGAGAAGTGACAGTTTCTGTGCCATTCAAATTGCTTCACTGCAGTTAGCAAAAAGAAAAAACAAAGATAATGATCTCTGCAATAAAAACCAGAGTGTGTAACTCCTCGCAGGTAGTCACACAATCAACTCACTTACAAGCACAAAAGGTGGTTTTCTGCTGCCATTTGCAAGCAGCAGTCAATTCAGTCGAGGCAGTGCATGAGCACTGTGAAGGTGGACGTTAGATTTGACTAATGCTAAGGTGGCACAGGGATGTAGTGGTTATGAATTGAGTGGCGAGCCACAAGATCAGCAGTTGAAACCCCTGCTGCTGCTTGTTCTGCTGGAGAAAGACCAGGCTTTCTCCTTCTCTACAGAGTTACAGTCTCGGAAACCCACATGGGCAAGTCCACCAGGCCCTACCGAGTCACTGTGAGTGGCCATGAACGCGATGGAGTGAGAGAAAGCAGCACAGAGACTCGCCCAGGTACAAGAAGAAAGACGTTTTGTTACATCTGGTAAGAATTAAGGACATTACGAATGTTCAACCAATACTCAAAAGTGCAGCATAGGTGTAATCCTCATTTAAAAGTAGAGTTAAACTACTATAGCTCCTCGATTAATGAGAAAGCTGAAATACATGAGTTATCTTCACCGAAGTTCCAATTTGCCACATATCATCTAATATAACAAAGCTTAAAGTGTGAACAAAATTGAAGAAAATTGTGGCACTTTGCAAAATGGAGACATGGAATGATGTATGTTGGTGACAAAAGTTAGGCTTGAAAATCTTTTAAGTGAATTCTTCAATAATTTACCAATACAGAATTTATTCAGATGCTAATGCTTCAAACTCTAACCTTACTTTAGTGCAAGCATTTAAAGGGTGCCTGAGAGGGTTTCCCGTGCTCTTCTTTTAATTCAGCTGGGGAGACTTTCTGGATGCACTTACTTTGTTGGTGGTACTTGGGTATTTGGAAAAAGCAAAGTGCCTGTTCTCCTAGAGTAACGGGGAATGTCAGTGACCAATATGGGCAACCAACATGCGAGTTAAGAGACAAAGCCCCATGCTCCTTTTGGAGTGAGCCTCTGAGAGTTGAATACCCCAAATGACTTGATAGTAACAGAATATTGGCTTATGTAGCCTCGCAGCTCAGTTGTTCCAATCTGCCCCAGAGCAGATAATCTGTTTTGTTCATTTCTAGAGCCAATTTCAGTAGAAATTACTTTTAATCTGGACCATAGTAGCCTTTCCTTAAAAGGAATGCCAAAATAATAAGAACATTAGTAATTTTCCTTGAGGAACTTTATATGTCCAGGTAAAATCCATACATGCTGTTACTCCAGTTGCCGCCATTGTTATGTTTTTAGTAGAGGGAGGAGAATGTTTTCAATTCATTGAAACCAGTGTTTCCCTGACTCTCAGAGTCTGCACATGCTTTGCAGTCCTTAGGCGGCGCAGATGTTTAATACACTGGGTTAGAGTCTAGCCAAATTTGCCTTGGAAGAAATGTCAGATAGTATCGTATCACTCACACACACACACACACACACACTAGCTACTAAAGATGTGATGGAGCAGGTATAGAAGAGAAAAATACGGCATGCTTTGACCCAGGTACGTTGCTATGAGTTGGAATTGACTTCACTGTGTTTGGAACGATCTCTCTATAACTTCCCAGCCAAACCAAACTCTCTCCCATCGAGTCATTGCTGACTAATAGCGACTTCCTGTGAGTTTCCAAGACTTAGAAAACCCCGTCTTTCTCCTTTGGAGCTGCTGTTGGTTTCAAACTGTTGAGCATTTGGATCACAGCCCAACAGGTAACCAGTACACCACCAGGGCTCCATTACTTGCTGTTGAAAAGGTGGCAACAAGTTGGTTGATTTACGGACTTCATAGGTTGTCACAATTGGGTTGGAAGGTAGATAGGACTAATGGCATTTAATTGGTAGAGCACGGGGATCGCTAAGCTTTCTATAATGCACAGGGCAGTTCCCTGTGCATCTATACAAGCAATTATCTGGCACAAAATGGTAATAGTGCCGAGGTTACGAAGTCTTACAGTGAACTAACTTTGAAAACGAATCTGTGCTTCACTCTTTTTCATTTGGAGAAAATGGAGAACTTTATAGTACCTATTGCAAGACACAAATTACTCCCTGAAGAATACTTAGAACAGGACCACACTATACATACTAATAAAAGTTTCAATATTATCAATCTTTCCATTATTATTATTTCACCTATGCCAGTCTGATTTATTTGATGGTGTTGCACTTTACTGATATTATACTTTTAGATATTACACTGAAAATCTCATTGTAAATTATTCTCCATCTTAGGTCCCATGTCAGTATTTCTATAAAAACACAATAGCTACATTGGAAATCTTTTAGGTGAAAACGCTCATTTCTTACTGCCTACACATTAGGAATTCAAGGATAAACCACAAAGATCAATAATGAAGGCTATTTCTTAAATAAAATGCATGGGCTTAAAATGTGTGTCTTGTCTGTGTTTATGCAAGTTACAGTTTTGCTTTAAATTGCGACCTACTTCCAAATTTAAAAGAATTTGGAAAAATTCCACAGCACAGAGAATGTATGAGATTTGTTTTCAGTGTTAGCTTTCACAGAACACAGCATCTAGAAAAACAGAAGATGTCACATCATAGTACCTCCCAGAGCTCTTTCTCTGGGAGAGAGAGGAGCAAGTCCATGACCATAAACATTGACAGCCTGGCACACCCCAGGGGGCAGCTCTCCCTCCTCGGCTGCCTGCAGGGTTGCCAGGAGTCAGGGTTGACTTGATGCCAGTGGGCTTGGGTTGACACACCTCTTGACGTAGACATAAATTGCTATATAGACCTGACTCTTGCTTTTTTTTTTTTTAGTTTTTAATGGACTTTTACTGATGAGGTGAATATATATCTGCGTTTGCCGTGTTTACCTTCATCAATGAACATTTCCTCCAGAAATTAAAAACCTAAAAGAGTTTTGAGACGGAAAGGTTTCAAAATCAATAGCTGCCTTCCTTGGCGGAAATCATGGCATCATTTCTGGAAGTGAACTCAAATGTGGGAGGGAAAGTAACTCAAAAGTAGGAGGGGAAAAAAGAAGCAGCAAATTTCATTTGGAGGCTGATTTAACAATTTTCTGGCCCAAACTGTGTAATTTAAATTTAATTCATTCTATTTGGGATTGTCTCTCTGACTTTCTTTTGAGTAAGTGGTAGAGAGAAACTCAACTCTACTACATTAAACTCTTGGATTTTTTAATATGTATATTTTCCCCTGATGTTTATAACCTTTGTCAGAAAGGGACCATGCTGCAGAAAGAAACAAAGTGGTGAGCAGGCAAAGGCATCAGCGTTACATTGCAGTCCACTGAGATAAGTGTATCTGTGTTTTGTTTGATCACTCGCAGGTCAAAGTGCCACGCTGACCCTTCCTAACTCAGAGCGGCCTGTGTGTGTGCACATGGAAAGTGATCTGTTCTTATTGAAAATGTCTATGAAAGATATTGAAGTCTCAAAGATTGAGGTGGAAAATGACCTGGGTGGAATTCAAGAAATTTGATCCATGTGGGTGAACACCAACATGATGTAGGGGGTGTAGAGATGATAACACAGGATGTTGTTAATGTACAGTAAGATGTTAAGTCAATTCCTTGATATTTAGGATTCCTAATAAGATATCATTTGGTGGATTCAAAGATAGAAAGACCCTGATGTATTTTTATCTTTCATTCACAAAGAGGTTTGTTGTTTTTCTCTCTC